TGGAAGCAATGCTCCAAGTATACCGGATTCGAGGCAGCCATATCATGCTTCTGCTATAAACCCTCCATCTTTGCTTGCTCCTAACATTGTATCTGCTCCTGCACTGACTCCACAGCCATCTTTTCCCATTGCAGCTTCAACTTCGCTAACCACTCCTTTCGGACCACCTGACCCAAACAATAGCGCTAATCAGGTCACTAATCTTGTGAAGCCCTCTTCTTTCTTTCCTCCTCCATCCTTTTCTTCTGCACCAATGAGGCCCTCTTTGCCCTCACCCATGACAATGCCTACACTTCATCCTCCACTTAATATACAAAGCCCATATGGTACCCCAATGCTCCAGCCATTTCCACCACCTAATCCACCGCCTTCACTTACACCGAGTTCTGCTCCTGCTCTCAATGATGCGCCTCTTATTAGCCGGGACAAAGTTCGTGATGCACTTCTGATGCTTGTTCAGGTATCTCTCTCACTATTCTTCTGCAATATTATGACCTGTAGTTTCGGTTCAGCGTTAGAATGTTGTGCCTTGTATGGTTTATTGGTAAGCTACCTATGCTAGAGACAGAGTTCCAGCCCATTTAAGCATATTGAGAGTCTAGGAGCCTCCCATCAAGCCAAGCTCACCCAAAAATAAAATTATCAACGATCCTTCTCTGTCTCCTCCTTCCCGTATTCATGTCAATTGTCTCGTAACAATTCCTCCTTGCAACTCTGGTCAATTTTGACCAGCTCACTAACTAATACTGTAACGGCTCAAGCTCACCGCTAGTAGATATTATTCTCTTTGAGTTTTCCCTTTCGAGCTTCCCTTTAAGGTTTTTGAAACGCGTCTGCTAGGCAGAGGTTTCCACACCCTTATAAAGAATGCTTCGTTCTCCTCCCCAACCGATATGGGATCTAATAAATACCCTCAGCAGTAGCCCTATCATAAATAACTACAATTGCATTGCAAATTGAAACTGATTATGTTCTCATTGATCATGGCTCCTCTGGGCTTCACTTCTTGCATTTGACTCTGTTTTCTTATTCAGTTCAATTACAAATTACACTAGTTTTTGAATTCTGAGGCAGTGGCTGACCTGTGGAATTATTCTTGTGTTTAGGACGATCAATTTATCGATAAGTTTTACCAAGCGTTGCTGAAGATGCATCATTCTTGAGTATATCTTCAAAAGGGCAGAGAGGTGGGTTTGTTTGGGCATGATAGATATGTGTGAATTAGACGTGTATATAACTCACTTGGAATTATGCCTAAAATTAGTGATTCCAGTGTAGAGTCGTCTGTTCAGTGTAAAATTATAAAGAGTTTCCATGTTCTTTAAGCTCTTTTTATTTGATTTGATTGAGGCATTGCTATCAAAGCTCTTTCAGTTTGGTACTTTTTAACCACTCCCTTCTAAATTTGGTTCAGCCTTACGAACTTCTGCTTCCTTGTTTCCAGGTTTTCACTCTGTTTTGGGCATTTGCTTGCCTTGGATTGTAAAATTATAATTTCATGTTACGCAACAAATATTTGTTTTTGGTTTTACTTAAAAAAAGCCTTCATATTTATTCTTTAAATTTTTTAATTCCGACCCTCATCCCTAGCCACAAGTCATCCCCGTATTTTGCTACATACATGGGTTCGGTCCTCTATGGCCTGTTAGAGCTCTCTTCGATCTTCTTATGGCTGGATTGATCGGTTTCGGCTTAAATAGGAAGAACTCGAGGATTCCACCTCTGGAAAGTGTCTATACCTAATAGCTTAAGTCATTGTTCTCATTTTCTCGCTGACCTATCATGCAAAAGGTACACCGTTGGAATGAGTGTGTTTTATTGAGAGAATCTTAAGTAAAGACGAGAGGTGCATCTATCTACTCGTTAATGTTCGGTTGACTTGCACTGATAGACCTCTGTGTATGGAAATTAAGCGAAAATAATACAAATTTTTCACCGCAAAGTAGCAAAATCATGATGAGGGGTAAATATTTACTTGGATAAATATGTAAAGCCAAGGTTGGAGAAATAGATTTTGGATTTTGGAAAAATTAATTTGGCAATAATAATAATAATAATCATAATTTTTACATAAACTAATAAAAGTTAGAGAAATAAAATAAACAAATGGATTTAAGTGAGTAATTGAATAAATAATTAAATAAATTGTACATGTTAATAAAAAAAATTATTATCAGTAAGGTCTTAGAAATGTGTTAATTTATTGGAAGAATATTCAATTTTTAATGAAGTTTTAAGTTATTAAATTTTTATTTTTCTTTACTAAAATGGTAATTTCACTAATTTATTATTATTTTTTAAGAGATATTTTATTTTATTTTTTAAAAAAATGAATTTATCGCGGGACCAAAATCTGCTGGCGTTGGGTGGTTTGGCGCGCCGGTGAGCCAATGTGGCTGTGGATAACGGAAAAGGCTTGGCTGGTTCAATATTACTGTGCAGAAGATGAACACCATTTCTTCCTAAACAAGCCTCATTCCTTTCCATTCCATTTCACCGCACAGTTTTCTTCCTCCTATACTTCTGATTTTCCATTTCTATGTTTCTGGAGGAGCTTAACTGCAACATCTTGAGCTGTGTTTCATTCGTTGTATATGCCAATTGAATTTCAGGGAACTAGCTTCCTTCCGTCAAGGTACTATGATGATATGATTGTTTGATTCCTTTCTGTGTGTGTGTGTTCTTATATTTGTATTTGACTTATTGCTTGCTTCTTTGTAATCTCTTAGGTTTGTAATTTATCTAGATTAGGGTTTGCGCCATGGTTATCGTTCTAGATTTTTTTTTTTTTTCTCTGCTGACTGTTGGTCTAATTGAGGACATAAGAGGAAACTTGACACACATCTTGACATTACTTTTGCTATTAGAATGGTAGGTTTGTTTATCCATGCCCCAAAATCGACTCACTTTGAAGCTGTCTATAAAATTTTAAGATACTTGAAAGGCCTTTAAGAAATGATATACTGTTTATGAAACATGACCATGTGCATGTTGAGGTTTATACTGATGTTGATCGGGCAAGCAAAACCATAGATAGAAGATCTACGTCTTGTTACTGTTCCTTTGTTGAAGGGAATCTAGTTACTCAATGAAGAAAAAGCTAAGTGTATTGGCTAGAAGTAGTGCTGAAGCTAAGTTTAGGACATTTGCCTATGGTATTTGAGAAGGTATATGGATAAGGAAACCATTGGAAGAATTGAAATTCTCTTAGAAGGTGCTCATGTGTTTTTATTGTAACAACAACGCACTGATTTCCATTTCTCACCGTCGAATCCTTCGTGATAGGACAAAACATATTGAGGTTGATGAACATTTTACACGGAGAAGATTGGTGGAGGAGTAATATACATTCCCTCCCTCTTTTACTGATGTCCATTTCGAGAAGTCGGGTGAGTAGGTTCAATGCTTTTTTGCGAGCGTTGGTCACTAGGTCGTTTTATAATTATGGTCTTGGTCTTGTTCTTTTGGATTTGAGTCCTTGTTTGTAGTTAAATCTTGCTTCCTCTTGGTTCCTCGATAAAACTTGCTGGAAAATTCTTTTTGCCTTTAGCAGAAAGAGGAATTATATTCCAAATTGAGGAAATGGGCCAGATTAGAAGAGGTCAGAGAGAGGCTGGGGGGAAGGAGTGGATAAAACGTTTGCAACGAGAGTTTTGTTCTTTTTTTGTATCGAGAAAAGACTAAGTCCTCTCTTTTCTGCAGTAAGGTTTATAATATTCCATCGAACAAGGTGTGGGCCATCATTTTTTAAGTTAAAGAAATAGCAAGCACACTTGGGTGTAGCCATTATCAAAGGAAGTAAAGCTTAGTAAAATTCTAAATACAAGAATATTGCTTCCTCTAAAGATTGAAGCTCAGAATTCCTATAAGATCATTGACGGAAGCTCACACATTTTTTTGGACATTATGCGTAAGAAGAGAACTACATCTGTTTTCAGGGAGAAAAAAAACTATTGTCCAACTTAAATAGCACACGAGGTAGGGAAACCTTTTAAAGTTCTTTTAGATACAAAAGGTTAAAATATACACTTACATCATGCAAAAATCCACTCCTCCCATCTTCCAAAGGCGCCAATGGAAGTACATAAAGAAACATCAAAACCTCATCACCAATCGAATTCGCCTAAACCAGCCCATAGATTGAAGATGCCGCGCTAATCCTGCAGTATCTACTTTTATATAGATTCCCTCATAGCAAAAAAGTCACGATCAAAGAAACGTGGAATGTTGCCAACAAATTCTAGGACCTGAAGCTAGGTAGGAACCTAAAAGATAATGAAGCAACAGAATAGGCAAAATTAAATCTTGACCTTGCCCCAGTGGTATTGTCAAATGAAGCAAACTCGTTAACTTGGCTCCCCACACTGACAGGGTTTTCTCAATAAAATCCTTTTCTATAAAATCCTTTTGATGGACTTTCTCTATAAAATCCTTTTCTATAAAATCCTTTTGATGGACATAGGGGAAAAAATAGAAGCAACAAATCTCACCCTAGATAATTTGGAAAGGACATCATTCTAAAAAGATGAAGTTCTTCCTTTGGGAAATAACACAAAAAACCATTATCACAAGTAAAAATCTTCAGAAAAGATTGTCCTGCATGACCGTTTCCAAATTGGTGTCCATTATGCAAGAAAGGAAACGCATCACAAAGCCACTTATTTATGCAATACACATACGCTCAGAAATTCTTGACAACGATTCTCAATATATTCGGATAGCATCTCATATTTCCTTGGGAGGTAAAGGATCTTTTGGATATGGCCTTAACGTACCACCCTTTAAGAATGCAAAAGTCCTACAATGGAAAAACCTCGTCATGGCTTTCTTTTGGAACCTATGGAAAGAAAGAAATCAAAGAATATTCGCAGAAAAGACACAAATTTATACAAAACTCTTCGACAATGTTGTTTACCAAGGTATATCCTAGTGTAAACTGTCTAATATTGGAATGTCTTGTCCTTTTGTAAATTTCAATAAAAAAGATGTGAGGAAGAAGCTGAGTTCTAAACATGAGATTAGTTATTTTTCTTTGGACGTACATAGCATTACTTTCTGAATCCTTTTGACAATAGATTAGCATAAAAAAGTTGATTCCACGTATCTGGTACTCCAGGCAGACACCAGTGACTACAATCTTGCGGAGCTTCATCAGATGTGCCGTTCTCACGATTCTTTGAAGGGTGGCCATCATTCCTGAATTCTGTCAAATATGTAATATTCAAGAACTGAACTTTATGTGTTACATAATTCATTTGTTTGATTACATCTGAAATGAAAATATTGTTTTCTGGTTCATCTTGCAGCTTTGTGTAGTCTCTTTCTGGCTCCTTATCAGTGTCACAGTGACCCCCTTCACTCCATGTCCCACCCCTGCAAGTTTATGTCAAAAGCTTGTTTCACAAAGCCACTAACCATTGTTAATTTCTGATAAACAACAGATTTCCTGACAGTATAATTTACCTGTAATGAACAGGAGAACAGCTGCGAAAGAAAACATGAGTTCTGTTTAGATCCAAGTTTTCCTCTACCCATCGCTTCCATGTTTGCAGTGACCTCCGAAATGCTTCCATCACATCCATACTCGTGTTTAATTTCCCACCTTCTTGGAAATAGTAACCCCTGAAACAAAAATGGATGTCTTCTATAGTTATTTTTCCCATTTATGGATAGAAATGAAGGTCTGTGTTCTTGATTGATCTCAAAAGCAGTAATCTGATCAAATGTTTACTTCTAGATTAGAAACCTCTAATATCATATTGATATGGTCTTGACACTTGTATTACTCACTGAAATGATTCTATTTCTTCCTTTTTTTACTAGAAATGTTGTCTTAGTCAAGCTCATTGAAGGCTAACTTAGAGAAATACTCTTGTGAAGTAACAACTTGTTAAAATGTTCAACAAAAAGCCGATGTGGCGTCGACTTTGGAGCGACGTAGTAGTTTCTTAGATCCTGTCTTGATTAAGTCGAGAAGAAAGACATTCGGCCACATCGATTTTCTGTTCAACATTCTAATAAAATTTTCTTAAAGTGTAGTTTTGAAACATTTACGAACACTAGAGTATTTTTTCTAATTTAGCTTTTTATTTTTGAAATTTGGGTCAAAAGTAGGTTGAGAAGATTGAAGCCATACATTTTAACAGTCTTGAACTCATTCCACCAATGGCCATCATTGAAAATTAAGATATCTGCACCAACCCACTTCTGGGAAAACCAATGCATCTCATCAACTCGAATGGCGGCGTTAACTTCACTGGATGAGTTCGGAGGAGGTCGGCCGATGATCACCAGAAAAGGAGCTCTGTAGTATTCAACTGTAAGATTGTATTCTTGGAATCGCATTTTGAGAAACCCCTTGTGCTTGTTTATTGGCTTTCCATTTTCTTCATATATCGTTGAAAGGTTTGAAACTGCAGGTGTTAGCATGCATAGCAGTGACTCCCATTGGTTTCTTCCAATGGAATCGCCAACGAACACGATCCTCCCGTTTCGAGTTCTCTCCAACAGCTCACTTGCATTGAATCTAAGGTTGGAACAAGAAAACGGTTATCAACCATATCAGATACAGGTAATGGACATGAACTTATTGCATAAACAATTTTTTTATTAAAATGATAGTCAAACCATCTAGAATGTAAATATATTATAGATTAAGATGGTTTGTTTGAGCAATGTTCAATAATTGACATTATTTATAAGCCAAATTCAACCTTCACAGTTATGCTAAAATAATAATAATAATAATAATAATCCAGATGGGCTATTAAAGGATGTAATGGTTTAAAACTTAGTGGTGCACATGTAAGTGTTCTTAAACTATTTTTTTCAAACAAAATCTCTTTGCAATGATTTGAATCTTAATGGCAGTAGAAATGGTCTTTTTCCGCTTTTCCTTCGAGGTCTTCGTTAGCACACCGACTAGTGTTTGACTTTGATACTATTTGTCCTCATTATCATACTCTGTGTGCGACTTTGATACCATTTATCCTCATTAGCACACCGCTCGGTGTTACGACTCTGATACCATTTATCCTTATTAGCACACCGTCCGGTGTCCGACTCTAATACCATTTATAACGGCCTAAGTTTATTGTTAGCAAATATTGTTCTTTTATAAAACTTTCCATTTTGAGCTTAGAATGAAACTATTTTGGAATTTTTTTTCAACATGAAATAAAATCTAGATTTTCCATATGTTCATCCAATTCTTTGGGAAGATCCAACAAGATTACCCTTTTTGGTTCCTCAACATCAAATTTCATATTTTCCAAACCAGGATTATACCAAAAGTCTAAAATTGATAATACTTTTGTATGCAAAAAATGAAAACTCAAGCTCCCAAATAACTTCAAGACAAGTAGCCTATAGCCATGTTCATACCTGGGAATATCACAGCCATCCGGCTGCCACCGCCACTTCCGGTAACCTTCATCTTTCCGGCCATTCTGAGTACACCGGAATCCTGGATCAACAAAGGGGCAATTCTCAGTATAGGAGTGAAATGGATAACTTTCATCCCAAACCCATTTCCCATTGGAGTAATCACAAGCTCTCGGCAACAGAGACGTCGTCGTCGACGACAAACTCGGACTGTTTCCGGGAAAGATTTGCAACAAGAACTGATGCAAACGTAAGAGATCATAATACTGGTGATTGAAAGGAGTGGCGGAGGAGTTGAAGATGAAAAGAGCAGAAACAGAGAGGAGAAGAAAAGACAGAGCAAAACAGAGTGTTCTGTTAATGGGGAAAGCAAGAAGAATTATGGGTCTTTGTGAAAAGGGTTGCTGCTCCGTTTGGATATCCATTGAAAGAGGAAGAACAAAGGAATTTATATTTTTGAAAGAAATCAAACAATTGGGAGTTAGGAATGCATGGCCAGTCTTTATAGGGGGATATGAACCAGTTGACTTTTTCCCCACAGAAAATGGAAACAATTTTAATCCACATAATTTCCTTCCATCAAAATCAAAACCACTTTGTTCATGAAAATAAAATCAAATATTACCTTACCATATTCATCATTATTCAATATTGTTCATGGAAATTCATCTGTAGTTTGCAGATTTAGATAGAGAAATGGTGAAGAAAACAAGCAAGTAAGATCGTCCTATGCTTTGAAAGTGACCTTGAAACTGATATACTATTATAGTCTTTTAACTTTTTATATTTGGACTTTTTTTGGATTGACGAAGATATCTATAATTGGATTACTTCGCGATTCAGCAATTCAAATAGATATCAAATGAGTATAGGTTAATTGGTTAAGCTATATATTTTAAATCACGGGGAGTTGAACTTTAAAAGAAGAAAGTGATATTATGTTAGTGATTATCTTTTCTAGTCAAGAAATTAGTTGGAAGCAATCTTAAGAAAGTAAATCCATCGTCATAGTAAAGTCTAAATAAAAGGTTAAAGGCTATTGGTCGGAATTTTAGGAAAATAGTTTTTATGATATTACCAGATAAATTGAAATAGATCTAGTTGGAGTAAATTCCATTTAATAAGATTATATAAAGATAATTGTATTTTTAAAATTTTGGATGAACTATTTTTAATTTAAATCTCAAAATTGAAAATCTGAATTCAAAATTAAAAGATTTTGTAAAGAGTGGGAGACTAAATTATATTTAAATTAGAATGGTCAGAATAAAAAATTTAATTTTTTTCTGACTGTCTCATCAAAAAGGAAAAAAAAATTATTATTATTTTTAAATTACTCATGGCTACCGGGAGATTAACAAAAACTGGAGTTTTTTTGGAATTTATTAGTTGTTACGATCGAGATACTTACTTTTAGAATAGAATAAGTGATAATTTTAGTAAAATTCTAAATATTTTGGTTGCAATTAGAATATTATAAAAGTATTTGGATGATAGTTTAATTAACACCACAACTGCCTTCAAGTGGTGATAATTAATTAATTAATTAATGGTGGTTGGATGATAGTTATTCACACCACTATTATAACATATTTTAAGTGGTGATAACTGATTGGCATTAATTATCGTGGTCATCGACGAAAACGATTTTGTGAGAAAAGATTACCTACAGTACGTGCGAATAATTATCCACTAAGCTCCCTTGATTTCGTTTGATTAGTCATATAATCATTTGCATATCTAACCTTAGTAGTGGAGTTTCAATAATTTTTCATACTCACTTTATAAGTACCATTTTTTAAAAATGATTTTCATGCCAGACCGTGACACAAAAGATGAAGCAACACATAAATGATGGGCAGGGTGAAGAAATTAGTAATGAGACAATTCGAGAATTTTATGACTTTTCCTAATAGAATATGTTGATGTTAGTAATTCTATAATTTTTAACTATTCTTCATTTATTTTAAATGGTAAATTTGTTATCTCGTAGGTAATGATCTCGACTAGAGTATAAAAAAGTTGGGTCATTACAACATCACTGCTAATATCAGAAGTTTTACCAAAATCCATCAGAATCAACTAAATATAACCTGAAGATAAGCTATAGTTATGTTGTAGTGCCCAGAAATTCATAATGTCTAAGCGCTCTGAAACTTCAGTACCAACCTCTATACTTTTGTTCCTTTCATTCCATCATCAAAGCTCGTACTTGTGTTCTCCGAGCTTGAGCAATCTTTATTGAGCTGAAAAAATTAATACAACCAAAAGAAACCAAATGAAAAGAGACAAAATTTCAAGAAATGCATACGATCTCAACTAGAAACATGTTTCATCCCATTTGAAGTTTCGTGAGTCCAGTCTTTTCTACTTCTTAAATATTCTCGTGTTCAGTTTGATCTATACAAACAGAAGGCTCATTTAATCACTAATTGTAACAGCCCAAATCCACCGCTAGAAGATATTGTCCTCTTTGGGCATTCCCTCAGAGTTTTAGAATGCGTCTACTAGGGAGAGGTTTCCACACCCTTATAAGGAATGCTTCGTTCCCCTCTCCAACCGATGTGGGATCTCACAATCCACCCCCCTTGGAGACCAGCGTCCTCGTTGGCACACTACCCGGTGTCTGGATCTGATACCATTTGTAACAGCCCAAGTCCACCGCTAGAAGATATTGTCCTCTTTGGGCATTCCCTTCAAGGGCCTCCCCTCAAGGTTTTAGAACACGTCTACTAGGGAGAGGTTTCCACACCCTTATAAAGAATGGTTTGTTCCCCTCTCCAACCGACATGAGATCTCACTAATGAACTCTACCTACATTCTAACCGTCATTCTCTACTTAGGTTAGATAACATATTAGCAGAAACAAGCAAACCTCCCTTTCATTCAAAAACAAGCAGAGGAAGGTTACTGAAACATTATCAGGTATCTGAGTAAACTTGTTCTAATTGTATTTGTAATGCAATCACGTTCACTTGCGAATCACAAAATTTTGAAGGTGTAGAAAAAGAAATTCAAATTGAAAGCTATAGAGGAAGAAATTGACAACATTGAAAGAAATAAAATATAAGAGCTTCAAAATCTACTTCAAGAAAAGATGCAATTGGCTTAAAATGGATTTACAAGACTATATACAAAGAACCAATTTTATTCAGAAGCTTAAAGCTCCATTAGTTGAAAAGGACTAATCTCAACAACCTGGTGTAGATCTTAATGAGACAGATTGCAAGAACTGTACTCGTCTTGGTAGTTTAATTGCGATGAAATTTGTTTCAACTTGGTGGCCTGGCTTGATTCCTTAAATGGCGAAATGGAAAAAATGAAAGTGGAGCTAACACAAGGATACAAGGTGAAAGGGAAGAAAGGTATTACTTATCGCCTCAATAATACCTATGGGCTATGGAGTTCGTACCCAGCGATAGAGTAAGAGCCAGGGGATCAAAGTCGCTCCACGATTTCATGCTTCCGTTCTTAGAGGGGGGAGGGAATCAGAGGATATTAGGTGCACGAAATTGGATCCCTACGGAATGAGGTCTTTCAAATTCATCGTCGAACATAAATTATAATTGGTTCCGAATTAGTGAGGTTGCGTCCTTCAACAATTAAATCTAAAGGCCACAATTCGAGAAACAGAGAAGAACTACACGGATAAAGAAAGTGCTTTCAGTCGCTGTTCGAGAACAATGAGTTCAAAAACCGCACGGAAAACGGAGACAGACTCGTAAAATCATCCGATTCGTAGAGAATAAAGAAAACAACTCAACAGACAAAGGAAATTCCAATCCTTCTACAAACTATTCAAATTGCCAAAGAATCAGGAACGACCTAACATTAAATCTCACCTAATGAGAAGTTAATTTCTGATATAATCCACAAGAATATCGAGGTTCGCCTACAAAATTGAACATAAAATACATGAGGTTAGGTTGAATGCTCACCGGAAGAAATCGATCGAGTTTAATCGTGGTGACGCCTTCTCAGCCGCTCCCTGACAAAATCGCTACGAGCTTTATCGAGAATATCGATGTTCGACTACAAAATTGAACATAAATACATGAGATTAGGTTGAACGCTCACCGGAAGAAATCGATCGAGTTTAATCGTGGTGACGCCTTCTCAGCCGCTCCCGAACAAAATCGCTACGAGCTTTAGTTCGAGCTTGCTGAGGGCCGATATTGACGTAAGAGAGGTAAGCTCCGACGGCGAATAAGGAGAAACCGGCGACGAAGTAGCAGGCGCTAGTTCCTAGCTGTCCGCGCGGGAGAGGGTTCAGCCACCGTCCCATTTCCCTCTAATACTGCGCTCTACAAAGCTCATGACTAAATTTATAATTTAATAATTAAAATATAATTTTATTTTAATTTCTATATTTTAAACAAATCTTTAAAATTATCTATTTTTATAGGAGGATTTTGACGTTCACTAGGCAATGCGGCCATGCCGCCATGTATCCGCCGATTCTCTTGCTTCAGTAATGCTTCTCTTCTTCCGATTTCCGACCTCCTCAAGCTCTGCAAGACCCCCATCGACCTCCAGCAACTCCATGCTCGTCTCGTCCAGAAAGGGCTCGAGCAAGATCATTTCCTTGTGACCCAATTCGTTTCAACTTCCAACTCAATTGCCAACATTTCATATTCTACATCCGTCTTCGATCGTGTTCTATCGCCTTCTACCTTTCTCTGGAACACTCTTGTTCGTGGCTACTGTGAGAAGTTGCAATTTGTAGATACTATTTCGTTATTTGTGCGTATGAAGAGGGAGGAGGGCGTTCCTGATCGGTACACATTTCCTTCGCTTCTCAAGGCTTGTGCAAGTGAGGGAAAGGTGAGGGAAGGTATGGCCCTTCATGGATCCATTTTGAGATGTGGCGTTGATGAGGATTTATATGTTACGACGAGTTTGGTGAATTTGTATGGGAAGGGTGGGTTAATCGAGTGTGCACGTAAGGTGTTTGATAGAATGTCAGAGAAGAATGTGGTTTCTTGGACATCTATGATTGTTGGGTATTCGAGTACTGGGAATTTGGTGGAGGCGAAGAGGCTTTTTGACTCGATGCCGGAGAGAAATGTTGCGTCGTGGAATGCAATTATTGGTGGGTACATGAAAATGGGTGATTTAAAGAGTGCTGAGAAGGTGTTCGATGAAATGCCAGAGAAGAATGTTGTGTCTTTCACAACAATGATCGATGGGTATGCAAAAGCGGGCGACATGGTTTCTGCCAGGAATTTATTTCAAAAGGCACCAGAAAGAGATATTGTCGCATGGTCGGCTTTGATATCTGGATATGCACAAAATGGTCAGCCAAATGAGGCAGTCAAGACCTTTCTTGAAATGGGTTCTAGGAATGTGAAACCTGATGAGTTTGTATTGGTTAGCTTAATGTCAGCTTGTTCCCAAGTGGGCAATTTGGATTTGGCCAAATGGGTTGATTCATATGCTAGCAAGTGTTTAGTTGATCTTCGTGGGGCTCACGTTAGGGCTGCTCTAATCGATATGAATGCTAAGTGTGGGAACATGGAGCGAGCCATGGATCTGTTTGAAGAAATGCCTAAAAGGGATCTGATTTCTTATTGTTCTGTAATGCAAGGGTTGTCACTCCACGGGTGTGGAGATCAGGCTGTGTCACTCTTCGAGAGGATGCTTGGTGAAGCTCTAACTCCCGATGAAGTAGCCTTCACAGTCATCTTAACAGCTTGTAGCCGTGCTGGACTTGTGGATGAAGGTTGGCATTACTTTGAAATCATGAGGAGTAAATACTCCATGGTTCCCTCTCCTGATCACTATGCATGTATTGTTGATCTTCTTAGTCGATCTGGGAGACTAAAAGCAGCTTATGAGCTCATTAAATCCGTGCCTGCTCAATCTCATGCTGGTGCATGGGGTGCACTGCTTGGGGCCTGCAAATTATATTCTGATTCCGAGCTCGCAGAAGTGGTAGCGTCTCGATTAATGGAGCTCGAGCCTCAAAATGCTGCTAATTATGTGCTATTATCCAATATCTATGCTTCTGCTGAAAGGTGGTTGGATGTGTCTGTTGTGAGAAACCAAATGAGTGAAAGAGGGATCAGAAAAATACCCGGTTGCAGCTGGATTTAATCGAACACATTGTTTATACGTTGTCTGCAATTTAAACTGCACCAGCATTGATCTAACTCGGTTTAGCATCTTCATTTATTAGACTATCAATATCATTGCTATATTGGAATTCAGCATTGGTAAAAAGGTTAATTCAGCTTATTGTTTTCCCCACACATTGGTTTTATTGGTGAAATATTCATTTTTGCAGAAATGTTTCGGTCGTATGTGATGAAATATGCTACCGGTAAGACGAGATTGTCGTTAATGTTTTAAAGCATGTTGCATGTTGTACTGTTCTAGAAAGAATGACCAAATAAGTGCTCCCTAAATTTTCAGTAGTAATGAAGTGTAATTCTCTTTATTTTGGCAAAATATGTGCATACCTATGGCATGTTTTGTTCCTCACATATTATTTTACTTACAGAACTGAAATTGAAGTTAATCACTGACAACTCAGTTGTGTTCCAAGTAAGACATAGCCACAGCAGCATGAAGAGCTGCTCCAATTGGAAGGGCCTCCTCATCAAGGACAAAGTGCGGTGAGTGCAGTGGCCGGTTTGATCTCAGAGTATCATTCCTTATCCCAATCCCGTATATGGTGGCTGCAATCTTCTGTGACAAGAAGCCAAAGTCTTCTGCTCCCATGGTCCATGGAAGGAGTTGCACATTGGATTCTCCAAGTAAGCTATTTCCTACCCTATTTGCATGCTCAAACAATGCTACATTGTTAACCATTACTGGTGTATCCTCCATAAACTCCACTGAAGCATAACAATGGTGCACTACTGCTTGTGTGTTGATGACCTGTTGAAAAGAAATTAAGTTTTTCCCAGCTTCAAAAGTAATATAGGAATTTGTTTAAGTTCATTAAGTGTAATGCATGTTATACCTCTCTGATCCTTTCCTTAAGGTAAGAGAGACCCTTAGGAGACAAGCTCCTAAAAGTTCCTCCAACTTTCACGGTTTCGGGAACGACATTATCTGCTTGCCCTCCATCAACAAATGCAACAGTCACCACCTACATTGCTGAGTATTAGTTAACTACGACCATGTTTGCAAGTTTCCTTGCTATGCATTACCTTTAAGTGTTGAATCTTGATGAGCAGTTAATAATTTTCTCATGTTATTCTGTTCTTATGATCCTAACAAACGGAGAAGATTAGGGACTTCGTTTAGAAGGCGCAAAACTTACTCCAGCCTCGAGAGGATCGGTTTCACGAGATACAATTTGTTGAAGAGCTTGAATTATAAAAGCTGTTGCTAGAACTGGGTCCTTCGTCTTATGTGGGGCTGCAGCATGTCCACCCTTTCCTCGTATCAAGGCCGAAAAGTGTCCTGCTCCCGCACATACTGGACCAGGCCTCGAGGCTATGACACCGGTTGGTAAGGTGGGCAAGACGTGCAATGCAAAGATTCCATCTATATCGTCAAGGGCATCTTCTTGTAGCAATTGATAAGCTCCATTACACTCTTCTCCTGGCTGGAAAACTAACTTCACAGTTCCCTTCAAATAACAACATATACAAGTAATCCTGGTCAGTCCCCTTCCCAGGTAACAGAATCGCACAAATAGGATTTACAATTCTAAGTATGAAAATTTTTACCTTCAGTTTCTCTATTTTACTCTGTAATAACCTTGCTGCTCCTAATAGCATAGCAACATGTGAATCATGGCCACAGGCATGCATTTTACCTTCTACCTTGCTTTTGAATTCCCATTCTACCAGTTCCTTCAAAATTATATGAGACATATTTAGCTTGGAGAATCTGAACTATTCATCAATTTGCACTCCTATTCTACCGTGGCATGATCTTCTCTATTGATGACAACAATTTGCAGGGTTGAATTTTAGTTTTGCAAAAGGTAAATACCAGCACAAGCCTACCGCTAGTAGATATTGTCCTCTTTGGATTTTTTCTTTCGGGCTTCCCCTCAAGGCTTTTAAAACGTATCTATTAGGGAGAGGTTTCCACACCCTTATAAAGAATGCTTTGTTCCCTTCTCCAACCGATTTGGGATCTCACAATCCACCCCCTTTGAGGTCCAGCGTCCTTGCTGGCACATCATTCGGTGTCTGGCTCTGATACCATTTGTAATAGCCCAAACCCATCACTAACCGATATGGTCCTCTTTGGGGTTTTCCTTCCAGGCTTTCTTTCAAGGTTTTTAATACGGCGTCTATTAGGGAGAGATTTCCACGTCTTTATAAAGAATGTTTCGTTCTCCTCTCCAATCAATGTGGAATCTCACAGATTATCAGACCTTAGAGCAAGGATAGAAAGCAATAAGGTTAGTTGAAGCAGTTTCTTGATATGCTATTCTGATATGGATATGTATGAAGCCTATCTCAGTTTTAGTAGCAAAATATAAATCTTTTTAGAGTCAAATGTCTTTTGCTTGCTCTACATTTTCCCAAGTTACTTTTGACAAATTACTTTCTTCCATTGTATTTGATCTGTATGCCATTCTCTGGTTTCATCTTTGTTTATAGAGAGAGTACCTGAAGAGGAAGGGCATCCATGTCTGCTCTAAGAGCAAAAACAGGTCTAGATGAAGAAGAAGAAGAAGAAGAAGAAGCCCCTTTAATGGAAGCCACCACTCCAGTCTTGGCAACAGGCCATTGGTAACTGATGCCGAGCAAGTCGAGCTCAGACCTCACGAGTTGACTCGTTCTGTACTCTTCAAATCCCACCTCTGGATACTCATGAATTCTCCTTCTAACTCCTTTTATCCACTCCAGGAACTCCCCTTCCCTTGCCAAACCCAATAACTTCCGTGTCAGTGAGTGTAGCTCCAACCCATCTCCACCGTGCTCCACCTCCGACGCCGACGGCCGCCACAACGCCACTCCAAAAACAAGCATCCAACAAAACAACTTGAACTCCATGCCGCCGCCGCCGCCGCCTGCCATCTCAAAAACAAATGCTTCCAATGGGTAATATAATGTATCTATTTGATATTGGATGGCCATAGTTATAAACTACATATTTGATTTGGGAACTGACATCGAAATTGAGAATAATAATGGGGTTTCTAAAATAGACAACATTTAAAATGATTGTTTCATTTTCACTTCCGTATTTTAAGGGTGTGTTTTACTTATATCACATGTGAATTTCAAAGAGAGTAAGGTTTTAAAGTCGAGTAGAGTAAGGTTTTAAAGTCGGGTACGAATGTTATCAAATTCATCGCGTTGTCAAATCATCACTTTGTTCTTTTAGCTTTTTGGGGATAAATTCAATTCCCACTCGAGTTTCTTTTAGACATTTTTTGAGACTTTGATGTATATGAGGGGTAAAAAACGTGAAACACGGTTTTCATTAATTCGTTCAATTATTTAATACTTTATTTTTAAGTTAGGGAGATACAGAATTCGGTCAACGATATATGGATTAGGGTTTAGGGTCGAACTTGTATTTAGGGTCTAACAATATACCGTTTAGAATTTGTATTAGGGATCACGCACTATTAAACTACTAATTTTATGTTTATTGGTTTATGAACTATTAAACTATTAATTTTATGTTTATTGGTTTATTTATTTTATTAGTATAAACTAAAAACTAATAGAGATTATTTAAATCAAGAAATTTAATGCTATCTTTCATTTTTGGGCCGCTAGATTTATACAATTTTTGGGCCTACACAAGAAATCAAGAATGAGGGCAGCAATATGTGGGCTGGGCCTCACGTGCGATCATTTCATGTTGGGCTTCCATCCTTAATGGGCTTGACCCTGAATAACATAGCTTTAGGCGATTACAAGTTTTCTATAATTGATATAAAATTTTAAAATATATTGTTTTTTAGTTTATATATATATATATAGTGGTTAATAAGGAATTTTTTTAATAATAATAATTAATAATATAAAAATTAAACATAAATATTTATTTCGCCATTGATTATATGGCATGAAATAAAAATTTATTTAGTACTTTTATCAGAATTAATATGTAATTTACATTAAAAAAAAATTTAAAAAAAACTACCAAAATTGGGTTTTTAAAAATATTTATATTAATTTTTAAAAGTAAATAAAAATAATTCTATTTATGTGTATAAAATATAGAAATGAAAAATAGGGACTTTGTTTTTTATTATTATTATTATTTTAAAAGAAATTTGGGGCATAAATTTATGGTGAGAAGTTAAAACTGATAAATAATTGTTGTTTAAAAACAAAATAAAAGAGATCATGAATTTTTAGGGGTAGTTTTCTATTTAATGTTATTAATTATTTTATTGTCATTAAGTAAAATTATTAAAATAATTTTAAATAATTTAATTTTCATCCCCTACCTTAAATTTTACCATCAATCTTACTTGAAATAAACAATTTTAATAAAGTAATATAAACAATTAATGGTAAATATTTGATAGAGTAAATTATACTAATAAATCTTATATAATTATAATAATTTATTAATATAATAATAAAAAGTATTTAAACCAACTAATCATAATTAAGTAATTAATTGTAGTTAAGATATTGTTAGGTAATTAATTAATCATTAAGTTTATTTTAATAAAATTGACAATAATTGTACAAATATTAGTGCTCATAAATCATAATAATTCAGGCGAAAAAAAGCGGCTCATTGGCGCTGCCACGCGCGCGCGTTAGTTAATAAACAATAAATTTTGGATATGCTATTAATTATAAACAGCCCATCCTTTAAAGCTATGATCCATAAATTTTTATGAACTATAAATTATTATCAATAATTTCATCATAACTTTGGAGACAACTATGATACTAATGTTTTTAATAAATGAAATGTATTAAATCATAATTAAATTAGATAAAATACTTTCGATTTGTAATACGTCATGCCTGATATTCGAAATCAAGATTCGTCCATCGAATGTTAAAAAATTGCTCCACAGTGTTGTATGACATTACCCAAAATTCATTAAAATGTATTACCGGAGAGGCATGATGTCAACACTCGACCACCTTTGGGACCCATGACCTAAGTAAACTTGTAATAACTCAATCCCACCGCTAGTAGATATTGTCCGCGTTGGTCTGTTACGTATCGTCGTCAGTGTCTACTAGGGAGAGTTTCCGCACCTTTATAAGAAGGGTTTTGTTTCCCTCTTCCACCCACCTTGGGGCCCAACATCCTCGTTGGCACATCACCTAGTGTCTGCCACTGATACCATCTGCTAGGGAGATGTTTCCACTCCCTTACAAGGTCTTTATTCCCCTCTCTAACCGATGTGAGGTCTCACAATTCACTCCCTTGGGGTCAAACATCCTCGCTAGCACACCGTCTACTGTCTTGCTCTGTACCATTTGTAACAACTCAAGCCCACCACTAGTAAATATTGTCGGTTTTGGCCCATTACGTATTGCATCAGTCTCACAGTTCTAAAATGCGTCTACTAGGGAGAGGTTTCCACACCCTTATAACAAATGTTTTCTCACAAACCTACCCATGGCACATACGTGCGTCATAGTGTGAGTGAGCAAAACAAAACGAGTATCTTAAGTATTATCATTTAGAAATGGATTTCTAAGGATAATATCGGATGGTACGAGTGTGCTGACATTATACCTTAGCCCACGAGTTGGAGGTTGGTACTTACAACCATTGACCGACACAATATACAAAAAAGACTCACATAGACATAAGACAGTTCATGTCTCAACATTACTCGAATAGATAGAACACATGATGGTTACAACATGACCCATTACCTATTTAGTTTTTAAAATTGAAAATTAATTATTTAAATTAATTTTAATTTAAACAATTGTCAGAGGGAAGTACAGTATAATCTAGTAATCTTTCATATTCACTCAGTAACAAACAAAAATCTTTTACTTTTACCACAGGTGAAATAAATAAATAAAATAATTAAATAACGAATAAATATTGGTCGGGCATTAAAGTGATGTTTTTATGTACGCTGGTTTTGAGGGCGTACTTGGTATTGAGATGTTTGGATTTATAAAGCGAACTAAATTCAATTTGCTATTTATTATTATGCACCTCCCTTTTTTAATATTATTTATTATTTATTTATTTTGATAATTAAATATGGTATACTTTATTAATTGGTTTTTGCCGAATTATACAATTTAATTTTAAAAAAAATGTATTATTGTTAACATTTTTTTTCAATTTCCAATAAAATCCGTTGTAATATATATACGAATTTATTGGTTGAAAATAATAAAATGGAATAATGGATGGGTAAATTACTCAACTAACCTTGTCTTCTTGGTGGCTAACATTTATTGTATATTTTATTATTATTTTGCAAAACACAACTTTAAATATTTTTAAATTAATTTTTAATAGACTTTTAATTTTTTTTACATTTTAATAAAAATTTAATTAATCAAAATTATAGGTTAATAATTAATAACTAGGGCCATAGAATTTAAAGTAACATTTTATAATAAAAATAGTATATAATTTATAATTTAATCTATTTTTTCTATATTTATAAATCAAATATTAATTTTTTTTATTTTTTGGTAAAAGGAGGGTTGTGTTAATTGAATACATAGTACCGACTCAAGATTTAGAGGGATTTGGTCCGACCAATTTAATGTTCTATACTCAAACTCTCTTATTATTTTGCGACATTATACTTAACCTATAGTTTTTACGATAGTGTAATTTAGAGAAATATGTCAACATAAGGATCAAAGCCAACTAGAGGCTCATATCTGGTTGAGGCCGACACAGGGTTGGATTCGAATGTGAACACAAATTTAATGATAAAATAAAAGTCGGGATTTTCTCATAACATAGATTGATTGAGGCTGAGTGATGAACCTCTCTCGTTCATATGAGATAAAATTTAATGCATAAATGAAGACCATTCTTCACAAAGGTTTGGAGGTCTTAGGTCGTTGCTCAGGTTATACCACATATTTTTAAGACAGACTTATTGTCAAGATAATGATCGTTTACTAAAAGAAATATATCTTTAAAGATATGAACGTTAGCGACTATACCTATGGTCATACCCTACTTATATAAGTTAAAAGGCAATGTTAGCGACTATACCTATGGTCATACCCCACTTATATAAGGTAAAATTTAATGCTCAGGCATGACCATTCATTATAAAAGTATACAATTGATCGAAACTCATAGCTCCAGCCTCGTGGGTCTCCAACCCTACGTACTACTCTCGTTCCTAGATCTAAGTTGGTACCTTACCATTAACTATTTCCTTCACTCATTCGATTTTTTTTTTTCTAAAATTTTTAATATGAATTTCCCTTTTTTGACCTATAAGGAAAAAAAAATTAAAAAGCAAATTGTTTATAAATTTATAATAATTTATAATAATTGTTAGGAAATTCTAATAAACACGAGAAAAGTGTATGAATAATGAAATTAATAATTTTTTTTAATTTAATTCATTTGATTTTCTTGATGTCTATGTTCGTCACGTCTAGTTACCTAGATGATAATTAACATTTAATGTTTCCGATATTAAATTAGAGGTGTTCTTGATATGAATTGAGTCGGATTTAAATTATTTTTAGATTCATCTGAGTGGTAATTTTTTTTTCTACGTAAACAATTTTTATTAAATAATTGTCTAAAATGTATCATAAAATATTTAGGTTGGTTAATTAGCTCTAGGGATTCGAGCTATTTATTTAAATTTTTATTTTTAAGTAAAAATAAAACTTTAATTTGTAAAAATTAAATAAATTAAAATAAACAAATATGACTAGTCTTTTTAACTCTAAAAGAAACGTTAGATATTTTATACATATCTTAAAATTTTTAATTAAAATTATAATTATTTAATTAATTAAGCTAGGTCCAAATTGACAATATTTTATTTATTAAAATATGCAATACACTTATTTTCTTGATTACGTGAACATGTGTGAGTAGAAATACCTAAACTCGATGAAAAAATCTCAAATGAAGGATGAAACTATGTTGTAATATAGAAATTAAAATATTATTCGATTTATATTTTTCTTATTTTAATATAAATTACATTTTAAAATTATTTTAAAGGAATATTTAAAAATATATATCTGTACAAATATGGAAAGAAAAAAAAATACCAAAAGAAAAATTTATAGGGTAAAAATAAATAGAAAATTTTACCCATAAAAAGAAGGCAGTCATGTTACGTCACTGGTAAATATTCGAAATTTTTAACCAATTCAGTTGGTAATAAATTTACCTCAATTAATAAGAATTGAATACCTTAATTTATTTGTTTGTGTGCAGTAAAATGTGTTGGTAAAATTTTGTAATTCTCACAATCAATAGCAGCCTCATTTTCAACCAAGTTCATAAATTCCCCCACAAAAATTAAATAAGCCCTCAAAAGCCAAATCCTTCACCCCTATAAATAATCCCCTGTTTCTTTGCATCAATGCCCCTGCAATCCCAAGAGTTCACAAATTCTCCCCTGTTTTTTCTCAAAATCACTTTTTCTACCACAGGTGACCCGAATTTCCGTTCCATCATCATCTAAGAATTCCGGTTCGAGAAATTCCCGATTTAACGAAAAACCCATTTGAATTTTTTGCAGATAATTTGAAGATGAATCGAAGAAACAGTAGAGAAGGAGGTGCGCCGAAGTTGGAGCTGAAACTGAACCTGTCGCCGCCGAGAGGCGGAGGAAACAGAGGAGTGGAATCGCCGAACCGGTCAGCCACCGTGTCGCCGACGTCGCCGCCGAGCTCATGTGTGTCGTCGGAGGCGGCGAGATCGTATTCGAACAGCCCTGAAACGGCGACGATGATGCTTGTGGGATGTCCACGTTGCTTGATGTACGTGATGCTGTCGGAACAAGACCCGAAATGTCCGAAATGCAAAAGCACTGTCCTTCTCGATGTTCTCCACGATAATACCGCCGTTAAAACCAGGCAATCCTAGAGAGAGAAACAGACAGACAACAAACATGGAGGTCTAGAGAGAGAAAACGAGTTCCACATAGTTTTTTTTTTTTTTTTTTTTTAAATTTTTAAATGTATTTGTCTCTGTTGGATTTTTATTTATTTTTTTTCTTGGGAATTTTTAGATTTTCTTAAATAGGAAATTAGAAGAAAAAAAAGGAGGATTTTAGAGAGAGAAAGAGAGAGGGGTAGTTTCGGGATAAAGACAGAATTTTCTCTCCCTTCTTTTAGCCACAAGGACGGTGTAAACCAGCGGTTAACTGCAAGTACCAAATGTTTTCTTTTTACCTTTTTTTTTTGTACATCAAAATTATTTTTTAAAAGTTTAATTAAGAATTAATTTAAAAAATTAATTGGTTATTAAAAATATTACGTGGAAATATATATATATACAAGGAAGGAATTAAAGAGATGGTTCGAGCATTGAAGAAAGAGAGGGGAAAATGAGTAAATGAGCAAACATAATGTAATGAGAAGGAAGCATTAAATTAAAGAACATAAATGCAACAGTAATTGAGACCGTTGAGAATAATTGAACCAAACCCGGACACAAAATATGTATATATTAGGAATCATACTCTACAATGGTATGATATTGTCAACTTTGAGCATAAAGTCTCATAGTTTTGCGTTAGGTCAATCAAGATAATGTTCTTCGTTATAAACCCATGATCACTCCCTAAATTAGTCAACGTGGGACTCACTTCCAATAATCTTCAACATTAACGACAAACGTTCTAATATTGAATAAGTATAGGATCTATTTATAATATTTGATGTTTTTATTTGTTAATTTTTTTTCCTTTTTATTATTATTATATTTTTGTGGTTAGGTAGGTAGGGGTATTTCTAGGTCTTAGATTTTAAATGTTTTATTTATCGAATTATTTATGTGATTTATTAATTGGTTTATAAGTAGTTTTCAAATGGATGAGGTATTAATTACACCACATGTTGAATTTAATTTCTATTTCTTTAAAAAGTACTTTATTTAATTACGCGGTTTATTTGTTTATTTTTTTTCTTTTAATTTTTTTAAGTAAAGAAATTGAATTCATATTTTGGGCCTTGCAAGCCCATTGATGAATCCAACTCAAACTCATGAATGGATTGGGCTTGGCTTATTGGGCCTACATCAGGCTTCAAATTTTGGGTAATTTTTTATTTTATTTATTTATTTATTTATTTTATTTTAATTTAACAATTCTATTTAATTTAATTTTGTTGAACAAATATGAAAAAGTTTGAATAAAATTGAGCTATACACTAGAATTAATATCTAATGATTATATTAATCGTTTAAATATATACAATATTATTAAATATAATAATTTTTAAATTAGAGAAAATTTCCAATAATAATAATATTATTATTATTATTGGAAGAGAGTTAAAAATTGCACGGCGCCCTTAAATGGGTTTGTTAAATTCTCAATGTGGAACGCGAAATCGGGATACTTGGCGCTCATTCTGGAAGACGAGGGAGGTATGCTTAGCCGTATCAATCTTGAGATGTATGCTGGTAATTTTAATGGTTTTGATGTTTAATCCATCGCTTTAAGATTTTCGGTTCTGTCAAATCCATTTGAGTTCATGAACTCATGATTGTCTTCCTGAGCGATGATTTGTATTCAATTGGTTGATATATTTTCCTTTTCGTAAATCTGAAATCTGCTGAGCTATAAATTTATGAAGGGGATTGATTATTAACAGGATGTTGTTAGGATTGTGGAGGTTGTGAGATTATAGGTACTATGAAGAATTCTGGATTTAATTTGACATAGTTAGGGCAAAAGTTTGATCACATTTTCCCCCCTTTTGAGTTAGAATATTATATTTGGGGTAGCATCATCATCGGATATCGTGATGATTCTTTTGGATTGTTACTGTAAATTGCGACAATTGACATGTTCTTATTTATTTGATGATTCTTTACACAGTGCTAGGATCATCCGATTTTATGTCGCCAAATCCATTTTTTATTCCCATTCCTGCCTATCCCTTCAATGGTGGATGATATGGGAATTAAGCTTTAGGATATTACCCTTGGTATAATGATCGATTCCTGCGATTTACATCCAGTGGTCCGTGTAGGAGCCGATTTTTGGCTTCAAGACTTGATGCCTTCTTTTGTTTATACACATTTATGAGAATGCACTAAGGTTTGTGGTATTTATGCTTCATGTAGTTACAAGAAGAACATAGTGGCTACTCTTGAAAAATATAAGAATCTACTTATGACTAATACCACAAGGGTGACAGTTATGTGGTTCATATTAGCTTACCATATTGGCATTTGCTTGAAAAATGTTAAACCATTCAAGTAAAAGTATAGAGAGTAAATGGATTCTTATCCTTGATGATAATTGTGATGTTGAGATTTGAGAATGACCTTTAGAATCTTTGTTCTAGAATGTAAACAGTTAAAGGGCTAAGAGGGAATGGGTTCAAGCTTTGGTGGCTAATCTACCTAAGGCTTAATATCCTACGAATTATCTTGGAAATCAAATGTTGTAGAGTTAGGTGGTTGCTGTGTGAAAATAGTTGAGATACGCTCAAGTTCGTATCTCAAGTTGGCCCAGAAGGAGACACCATTAGGGTAACTTTGATTCTCGAGGAGCTTGGATAGAATCCAATGGTTAGAAGAAACCTTGATGATAGCTCGGGAATGAGTTTCTCTCTTTCCCTCGCTAAAATATTTACTCCCAGGATAAATGATTGGAGAATATCACGAGTGAAGTGAGAGGAAGAAAACAAGAACACTTCACCTCAACAAAACTGAAACTCATTTTATCCTCAACTCTAAATTGAAGTTTCAGAACCAAGACTACGCAATTTCATTAGCAAGAACTATAAGACATTCTAGTGAAATTAAGCACTCTAATCATACTAAAGTTCCCGATCCACTAACCAAAATAGTTTTGCCTCTCTAGAGTCTAGACTCCTCTTAATTTTGACTCTCTAAATTCCTTCTTGTTCTCTATCTAAGCACTTATTGAACTATTTTATTTGGCATTTTTATGAGGCACAACTCTGAAGTCCTTCGAGTCCATACAATTGTTATTTGGGTTTGTATTTACATACTAGTTCTTGTGATATGTTTATGAAAAACATTGAATGACTTTGCAGACTAACTTTCAGGTTAGGAAAGTCTTCATAGGCATATTGAATATATACCCCTTTTTATGGTTGAATAATTGTTTCTGATTTATGTCGGAGTCTCCTATTGGCTAAATAGGGGGAAGATCATGGGTACATAAGTGAGGGAGACTCTCTATTGGTATAGATTTTTTTTTTTAGAGAACCAAAAATCAAACCACAAGAGCTAATCCTCAAATGATGTTACCAAAAGAGGCAGAACTGAATTAAATCCTCGTAATGCCACATTTGTAATGTAATATTCTAGTAAGGTTCAGAAATAGTACAAATTTTTTTAAGAAGCTAAATGAAGTTTCCTCAAGCTTTGGTGAATGTTGTAAACTAAGAAAAGTTTATATCGAGACTGAATAATATAATGAACTGAGCGTCGTTCCTAGTACATGTGGGAGATTTGAACCAGAACTTTTCGTTTTGGTTGAAGATATATATTTTAACGAATCTAATTTTGCTTAGATCCTTATGCACGGGATACACTAATAATTTAATGTATATTTTTACAATTTTTTTAATGCTTCTTGACAATTATGTTGTGATTTTTATTGTTTATTGTTTATTGTTATGGATAGAAAGTCAGATATCAACCTCTGTCACTTCTGCAATGGGTCCTACATTCTAAGATATGTATAAAGTGAGTTGTTATGGGTCCTATCCTACTTTTGTGATTGCTCTCACTAATTCAATCCTCCATTATTAGGAAATATATAGTGCAGACACAAATGCAGATTCAATCCTCCATTTGTTTTAATAATGTATTAGTTTACATTATTTGTAGCATTATTAGAACTTAGATCTTATAATAATATATTTCCAGCTATCTCTTTGGATCTTTTAAATAAATAATAATTTCACTAAGATCTTCTTCTTCTCTCCAAATCCATGTCAAATCAGGTACCATTCTTGGAAGAAAAAGAAAAAGAAAAGATTGTGGGTCATGAAGCCATGTTGTGTACTTTGTTTGGTTGCTCTCCAAATGGCAAATTGAATAGCCAATTGGAATGGTGACCCTTAAAACATCCATGTGCACCTTTGGACCACCTTCTCCTCCACACTAATTCTATTAGCTCCCCTAACCCTACCTTTTTCTTTTCTTTTCTTTTCTTTTCTTTTCTTTTCTTTTTTCTTCCGATCACTCCGTATCGAGACCCTACTCTTCTAGTCTTTTTTAGCCTTCGGAGACCATTTGCGTACCCCGAGGCTTGCTCTAATTCAAGAGACAACAAAAGTTTTACGGTAAATATATGAGTTTTTGATCTGCAGACTTAACCCTAAGACCGTAGAGAATGTCTCGAAATATCCTAAATTTTATTCATCAAAACACTCGTGATAAACTTAATTAACCTACTCACTAGTTCTAGTTCCATGCCTAGAATTTGGAACTCAGATTCGACATTGATGACCTAGACATTTCACTACATCACTTGAAATATGACTATGTTACCTACTTGTCTCAAAGTGTTTCTAAAAGTGAAGATAGGTCCTTTTATAGCATATTTTGTTCCAACCCACATGCTTTTGAAGCAAAGCATGTTCAACTTTAAAGTTTTTATGATTGAGCGATTGAAAAGGAAGTTGCATTTTGTTTAGTATAGATAGTAACTATCAATCTTTTAAGCATTCTTAACTGTCGTATTTGTAAGATCACTTTTATTTAAACGTGGCCTCGATTCGTTCACACATCCCTTATTTACTCCAACATAACAATTATTATTAGAAGAAATAAAATAATTGTCTCTAGAGACATTTCCATACCAAAAAATCTAACCATGAACATTGTAATGGAAAAAAAACGAAACATGTAGGGAGACAACAATTTCAAATATCTCTACGTTTTTATATTCTCATCAAAATATCATTATAGGAAAATAAAGTAAAATTTTAGTTGAATTGTATCATATATATAGTCTTTATCTATGACGTTAAATTTCATATAAATGCTATATCTCGAATAATTAAAATCGATATCAAACCCAATACACGTGACTTAGATATACAAGTCTTCGTATAATAAATATCCGAATAATTTTTTTTTATGTAAAAAATTAAAAGATTTGTTTGATTGGTTTTTTGGAGGGGAAAGTGGCCATGTTCATATAAAACAAAAACTTCCTCCTCTCACAAGTGAAGTAGATAGGAGGAGGCATAAAGATTGGACCACCTTTGCCAATGTCCACATCAAACACTCCCAACTTCCAACCTTAACCTAAATTCAACTAAACACAACCAACAACATCTTAGGTCTTTTTATGTTTTTTTTTTTAATTATTAAAAAAATGATAAATCTATATCTCCGAATGAATGGTTCAATTTTGACCTGAAGAGTTTTGACGTCGATACTTCAAAATTAAAGAGCTTCGACGTCGATTCTCCGAAATTTAGTACAGCCTAAACTTGAACCTACAATCTCTCGAGATCCCACATGATCCCGCGTTGGTTTGGAGAGGGGAATGAAGCATTCCTTATATAGTATGAAAACTTCTTCCCAATATACACATTTTAAAATTGTGAGATTAATGGTGCTCAGTAATGCTGTTTTAAATGGTATTAGTCATATACTGGGTAGTGTTTCAGCGAGGACGCTGGCTCGCAGTGGGGATGGATTTGGAGATCCCATATCGGCTGGATAGGGAAACTAAACATTCCTTATAAGGATGTAGAAACTTCTTCCTAATAAATACGTTTTAAAATTATGAGGTGGTCGGTAATGCATAACGAGCTAAAGCGGACAATATCTACTAACAATAACGATATAATTATGAATAATTTTAGCTTAGAAAAAATAATTAGAGTCAGGAAATTGTACTTGTGCCAATAATTTGTCCAATTTTAACTTAAATATTCCCTCATAAATTTAGTTCAACTAATTTTGTTTTATCGTCATTTAATCGTCATTTAATTTTCAATATGATAAAAGGAAAATTAATGTTTGGTGCGTTAGGTAATACTTCCTTAAATCCAATTGATAATTATTATAAAATAATTAATACCTAATTAATAAAGTTTAGTGATACTGCAAATTAAAATGACAAAATTAATGTATAAATTTTCAAGTTTATATTTATTTGATCTCGTAATTTCAAAGAAAAAAAATTTATTTAAAACCATTAAAGCAAGTTTAGTTCATAAACTCTTAAAAGTATCTCTGCCAGTGAGAAACGAACTGATAATTAAGAAAAAAAATACACTTTTTTTCTATAATTTAATCATAAAAACTTCAAAGTTAGGGTCGTTTAGATTTAGATGATCTTCAATTTTCCTAACAAACATGTAAACAAAGACAAAATATGCTAAAAAGACCCGTATTTGTCTATTTGTGGATATAGTTTTCACTTTTAGAAGTACGAACGTGACCATGTTGAAGTGACAATATCGTAGAGGAATGTCGGATCATCAAGTACTGAATCCAAATTTCAAATCTGGATACAAATTTTAGACCTAGGACATTACAGTTGAAGTGGTAGGTAAGACAACCGAACCCAAATCCCAAATTCGAGTACTTAGCTCCAACCACATCGGGGTTTTTTAATCCGAACCCATAAGTCAAACGCCTTTATAATAATTTATTTTTTCTTGAATTTTTACAATAATTATATATAAAAATACATCTGAGCGGTCTGTATGTATGATGTCTCCCTTCCACAACTCCCCTCTGACTCCGCCATTAATGCCAAACAAAGAATTCATCTTTTCCTCATAATTATTATTATTATTATTTTTATTTTAAAATCTCTCAAAAAATGGGGAAGAAATTGAAAAAGCTTCCAAATTTGGTCAACAAATCTCCATGGCTATGGCGTTCCTGCACCCAATCAAGAACCCTCTCCTTTCGGATCTCAAACGACATCTTCATCAAGACCATCAACTCAGCCTACGAAGAAGACGACATGTCGGATGATGAACAAATCGAAGCATTACTGAGAGGGCTAAGCCTGAGGCAAGGAAACAGGCTGTTTTTGGAGCTGGAGGAGACCAATTCCATAATGGCGGCGGGGGTGGCCGGAAACTGCGAGGTTCCGTTCAAGGAAAGTGTGGCTATGGCAATGGATTCAAAGGAGCCTTACTTGGAGTTCAAGAAGTCAATGGAGGAGATGGTGGAAGCTCATGGGTTGAAGGATGATTGGAAAGGGTTGGAAATGCTTTTGAGTTGGTATTTGAAGGCTAATTCTAAAACAAATCATGGGTTTATTATTGGAGCTTTTGTGGATCTAATGGTGGGTTTTGGAGATTGTTCACCAAATTCTCCTTCAAGTTCTTCAAGTTCTTCATCATGTTCTTCAAGTTCTTCTCTTTTGTGTTCTTCAAATTCCTATGATTCTTCTTTTGGAGGCCCTAATTGTAGTACTAGTTCTTCTTCTTCGACCCATGTTCTTGCTATTCCTTCTCTATCTTCTTTGTTTGAAGACAAGGAGGAAGACATCGAAAAAAATGTTGAATAAGATTTTAATTTTATGATTGTTCAATTCATTTTGAAAATTATAAATGGAGGTTGTGCTTAATCATGTTGATTTTTTTTTGGTCCTGTGACGAGTGTTAAACTTGAACATTTGATTGGATCAATTGAGAGGTAAATGAGAATTTGATGAAGGGTTTCTCACTAGTGTAGGAAGGTAACTTGAGGAGCGAGATTGAGCGATCCACGTCTAAAGAATTTAAGGGTCGAGAGTTGTAGTGATTTGAAAATAAATGGTGAAGTCTCTGTCAAGACATAGAAACAAGACAAGTTCAATTTTGCTTCATCGTACATGACAGACAGCCGATAGTAGCAAGTTTGTAATTTCTTTAAAAATTAACTTTTAAAAGTTTCAATAATATTCTTAAATTAAAAAAAAAATATACTTACTAGGTTACCTTTCGAGTTACTTTACTCTAAAAATACATTTAAATAAATTTTAAAAAAAAAATACTTTTTTTAACTAAAAAGTGTTTCATTTCAAAAGTTTAATCAATATTTTTATTTATTTTTACTTCAAAAATAATATTATCATTGGTATACGGTTCAAAAATACCAATAAATTTTAAAAAATAATATTAAAAGAGATGTAACTTTTATAAAAAAAAACACAAAATCACAATTTAGAGGGAAATTTGATGAATATTTTTTCAAACAAGTATTTTTAAAATATAAAATTTAAGATTATTTTATTAATTACTTAAAAAAACACAAAATCACAATTTAGAGTGAAATTTGAAATATTTTGTGGGTGTGAAGTATGGCTTTATTTGAAATATTTTAAAGCAAATTTGTTTTCATATTTGGGCTTAATTTGAACCAAAGAGTGGGCTTTTTACACCCATAAATCCATTAGAATAATTATATACCACATGCGTCCGCTGTTGGTTGGGGGAGAGAAACAAATCATTTTTTATAAGGCTGACCAATAATACGTAACGAATAAAAGTAGATAATATCTGCTAACGATGAGCTTGGACTGTTATGTATGTATGTAATTAGGACGGATATACTTACTTATGCATGTGAGTGACATGTTTAAAGTTGGCTCATATCAGATGAAATTGAATTTTTTTTATTCTTCAGATTAGAAATGTACAAGGTTGAGGGGCTAATTTTCGGAAAGTTTTGCTTTAAACTCTTTTAGACCGATAACTCGGTAGGTCTGGTTTTTTGTAGTTTTTAGTTTTTGATTTGGTACGAGCGGGGTTGAAGTTTCGAATAAACCGTGTTCAAAAAAAGGCTCATTTTTATGGATATAAATAAAATTTAGTGTACTTAAAAACACCAAAAGCTATAAGAACCCCATTCTCTATGTCCCTTAAAAACCCAGCAATGGCAGCCATTTTTCACACACCTTTTCTTAAAGTAAACTCATTAATTCTCCTTTAAAAGTAAGTGTTTAGTGGGAAAAACCCTATCTTTACAACACCCAAACCCACATAATCATCCAATCAAGGCTTACTCATTAATAATTAAACTAAACTAAAGTCGAGGGTTCAGTGTTTATTTGACTCGATGACTCGACCAATTCAGATTATCCAACCTAAACTATAATGGTTAGGTTGGGTTAGGTTTTTTTTTTTCTCGGTTTGGGTGGGTTGACATTATTGTTGTAGGGTCAACCCAACTAATCCGAGAAAACAGGAGTACAATCTAACCCTACTTTTAAAATTATTATAAAAATTAAGAATATTTGACGTTTGTAATCAACGTTAGAGCTGAGTTAATGTTTGATATTCGTTGATGATTAATTTTTATAAATATTAATTAATAGTTGTTGATAAGATTGTTTGAGGTGGGTTTTGAAAAGTTTGATGTGAGAGGGACATTTAGGTCAGAAATAATTCAATCTAATCATAGTTTGATTTAAATTCAAATTGAAATTTAATTAAACCCAAATTCAATTGTGAAGGTCACGTGATGGCCATGGCCTTAAATAGTGGCTAATGGAAGCTGAGTTTATGTCACGTGCCAGCATTTTGTAGAGGGCTTTTTGGGTATTATATTTTAACCGTTAAATTATAAATTTAGATACATATTTAACATTTTCAAAATTTTTAAAAATTAAATGGTCTATTATTCACGGGATATGACTAGTTGTCAACTTTTCCCTCCCCGATACTTATATGTAGTAAGCTGTTGTTACTGCCTTTTGCTTACATTCACATATAACACAAATTTCAATTTCTCAAATCGTGTTTCAAAACTCTCTACCCGTTTTCTAAAACTTTCTTCTTGAACTGGCCAAAGGCTCGAGCATATGTCGCTTGGCCGTAGGCGACGCAAGAATAAATATGCTTAACTCACTTGTTGCTAGGAAGTGAGTGTCGCACAATCGCAAATCCGCTGCCATCAAAGAACAAAAATATCAATCGATTCAATCCAATTTGTACAGTTTGAGCGGGGTTACGAGCTTATTTGGGTTGAATTTGGATTAAATAAATAAAAACTTTATGAGTTAAATTGGTTCATGAGTTTCCGAAGATACATGATTTCTATCTATCTAGTCAACATAAGACTTTGGTAACATTCATTACCGCTCGTAATACAACTTTTTTAAAATCACAATAAATATTTAATCTTAATTTAAAAATAATAATAATAACGAGTGCTCGAGATGTTTTTGACCGGTTAGAAAGAAAAAGGCTCCTCTCTCATTTTCATGGCCCCTCATGTTTTCCATTATCTTTGTCTTTTCATTTGGATTTGACTAACTCTTTAAACTATACCATACCTTTCGTTTCTTTTTATAAAGATTCATCTGTTTCTCGTCATCTAAAACTAGCTTCATCAACTGTTTCTTAATAGTCGTTTTTTTTTCGTCTAATTATTTGTCGAAGGGTGTACGTCAAACTCGAAAAAATTATATCAATCCTGTGTTAGATGAACACGACTCTCCATAATGGAATATGATATTGTCCACTTTGAGTATAAGCTCTCGTAATTTTGGTTTGGACTTTCCCAAAAGAACTCATACCAATGGAGGGAGTATTCTTTGATTATAAACGCATGATCCTTTCTTAAATTAGCCGATGTGGGACTTTCATCCAACAAACCCAACCTGAATTAGTTTAGGTTGAATTTGATTTTTTTTTTAACCAAACCGGTTTGGTCTGGGTTTCAGATTTAGTGGGAAAAGGTTCGGGTCAACTCAAACTAAACTAGTCCAACACATTATGGTTTTTCTCACATATGACATATCATGCCCTTGCATGTCCATTTCACATATGCTAAACGACCCTCGCAAAAGCTCTCATACTTCCACTTGGCAAATAATAGATCTTGCTCTCGAGCTTCTTAGATGGACCCTCAGTGACCAATCATTCGTAGCCAACACCTTGCGCCCTCATCCAATCACCCTTGCATAACATCCAGTCATCCTACGCTCGTCGCTGGTTGCCCCTCGCAGTTACACACTTCTCCCGCTCCTACCACCCAACAACCCAACTCAAAAATAAAAAGTTAGTTAGATTGGGTTTCACTCTTTTAGGATTTTTTTTTTTTTTAATCATTCAAAATGAAAAACAGGTGGAAATAAATAATTTTTTTTCCTTCTATTTTCGTTACCATTGTCTATCGTATATTACTTAATAATAATGAAATTTTATTATCCATAATCAAGTAATATTTCATTGTGAAAAAAGAGTGATTTTTTATTTAAAAAAAAAAGTAAATTATAAACTCCCATTTTCCTTCCACATTAAAAAAATAATAATAAAAATTAAAAATTAAAACTTAAATTAAAAAAAAATCATAAAATATAAAAATAAAAGTTATATTCTCTCCCTTTCTTTTTATTGGCATCACAAATATCACTAACTTTTATGTTTTATTATTGTTATCTTTTTTTTTTCTTTTCTCATTCTATATTATATTATATTATATATATATATATATATATATATATATATATATATTGTNTTCCAATAAAATAAGGAACTAAAAAATTAAAGGTAATAATACTATTAAAAAAAAAAAAAAAAAACTGACACTCTAAAAGTAAATGTATATTGGAAGAAAGAGAAAATTCAAATGGTTTGCATATTTTTAATGATTTTTTAATTTTTTTTTCATAATAAAAAAAATGTTGTCTTTATTATTTTTATTATATAAATTAAAAACTTATACTAATTTCTAGAAATTTTGAAAAAGAAATACAAATGCGTCCTTATATTTTTAATTTGTCCAATTTATTTTAAAAAAATATCAAAATTTTAAAATAGAAAATTACACGGGTGTTTCAAGTTAAAGAATCGTACCATTTTTTAATTTTATTTTGACGTTTAAAAATGGATTTTGACCATTCAATAATTACGTATAGGATATAGTTTTTTTCAAAAATAATAATTCCAACGCAACACTATTATTGTCACATCTTTAATGTGCATTTTTGTTCATATCACCTATTCATTGCCTGTTTAATAATATACCAATTGGCCCATTTGACAAAATTCATATTGATTTATTTTTATTTTTAATTCATATACCGTACAATAATCCTCACACAATTTAAATATTTTATTCTCCAACAAGATTTATTTTTATATATTTTGCATTGATATTCTCAATAAATCATACGTTTCGTTGGAATTTTAACAATATTTTAAATCCGACGAGAGTGTTTAATTGGAGGTTGAATGTGTTAAGCAATATGAGTATATAGGTTGTTTAAACCGATAAATTTAATTGGAGGTTCGATATCTTAACGAATTTAACTATGGGGATGGTGATTAATAATTTTTAAACAAATCCAATATTGTAGTAAACAAAAAGAAAAAAAAGGGTATATTTTAAGATACTAAAAATAAAAGAATTAAAAAAAATGGAAAGAAAATATGGTAAATTTAAATATAAAGGAGTGGGAGAGACACTCATAGAAACAAGAAAAGTGGTAGAGAATTATACAGTTGAAAAAAATAAAAGCTTTTTTCAACCAAAAAAAAAAAGAAGAGAAAATGGGATATTAAGTTGATCGGACGGCTAGGATTCAAAAGCGGAAGATCGGAGGCGAAACAGGGGACCTGGCGGAGAAAACAGAGTCCCAAATCTCAGCGAAAGCCCTAACGATAATTCCATGGTGAGAAGGCGAATTCAACTGCAAGAAACAACGAAGAAGCCCTCGCAAGTCGTCCTTCGAGTAAATCTCGTTCTCCAGAATCATCTGAACCATCGAATGCCGGAAATCCAGGTACGGATCGTCGGAGTCTTTCTCGACGGCCACGCTCTCGCCGCCGCTTCTACCGAAGCCGCGGAAGGTGATGGAGGCTCTGGTCTCGGAGTCGGAGTCGGAGAAGGGCGGGGAATCGGAGTCGGAGGCGGAGGCGGAGAAGTGGTGGAGGGAAGGGGATTTGGCGGAGGGCTTCGGCTTGAGGTGGAAGAGGTGAGAGAGCTTTGGTCTGCAAATGTTGAGATCGACGGAGAGGGAGGTGAGAGGGAGGTTTCTTCGACGAGTCGCCATTGTTGAAGGATGAGAGAAGAGAGCGTATTGGGAATGGGTTTAACAAAACCGTTTGCGGGGATTTATATTTGGACAGTCGCTGTCGTTCGGATTTTATCGGACTCCGCAAACCGCTACTTTTTCTCTCTTTCTTTCTTTATTTTCTTTTTTAAATTTAAATTCTTATTTTATTTTATCTGGATTTTTTGGTTTCTAAAACTTTCAATCCAAATAATAATTTTTTTAAATTTAATTTCAATATATAGTTAAAAAATTATTAAAGAATAAATAATTATAAAGTAAAGTAAAGATATGTATATATAAAAGCAAAATTGTATATTTAAAATTAATAATAAATCATTCCACTCAATTTAGTTTTATATATATGAGAATTTATTTTATGTATACCTAACTTAATATATAAAATTTAGAATAATCGAAAGAAAATAATAATAATAATTATTATTATTATTATATTTAACTAATTTGTTTTTTAAAAAAACTTTAAAATAATTGTAGGAGCCAATTTTGGTATTTTTTTCGCGCAAAGCAAACCTGAGATAACAAATCCAAACATTTGATAACAAATCCAATCATGAAAATACATGAACAATGAAATAAACGGTAAAAAATTATAACATTTACCTTAATCTTGGTTCTATGTAACATTTACCTTAAAACTAATTGAAAGTATTAAGGTAAAAAATGGTAACATTTATCACTTATTTATGATTTCAAAGTAGATTAATTCTATGAGTTTCAAATAATACAGATGATTTCTTGGATGAACCTATAAACATTCTGATATTCGACACTTATTCGAACCATCTCAGTAACCCCCAACGTGTGCTTCCATTGTTCCTTCCTTACCTTCTATTTTTCTGTTCGACGACATGAGGTTTCTATAGGAATGATAGTGTATGGGGAGACGTTCATTGTCGAAAAGCATGCGTTGCTACTACAAAACGTTAAGAACGAACATCCGATATAAAACACAAAGGAAGTCTCTATAATGGAGTAAGAAGGAATGAATGAATGAATGAATGAATCTGACCTTAATCTGAGATATGGTTCTTGATCAAGCTTGCCACATGTTGAGCAATGTAGAGTGAGCCAGCTTCAGAGCAGCAAAATGCATGTGTATGACCTTCCCTTTCAACTGATACATCCATTTCAGGGATCTGCTTCCATATCTGTGGACAAAACAAAACTCAAACAACAACACTAGAGCTTGAAATCACTATATCAGTTACAGTTCTAAGATTCAAATTATTACTTTTTCATCCTGCTATTTGAAGTTGTTCATGATGCATAATAACAACTTAATAATATTTCAAATCGACTATTGTTGTACTTTCTAATTATTAGAATGATCTAAATGAACACATTACCTAATAGTGTATATAAACCACGGATATAGCTTTTTACTATAAATAGCTATTTATGTCATTTACCATATATAGTTTTTATAACCATTGACAAAGCTATAAATAAACGGTAGACTTCATGACCTAACATTAATCACCATAAAACGACAGGACGATAATATCTTTAGCAACAATATTCGACGCATGCAGCAGAAATGATTGATAAAATGGAAAAGTGGTTCGATATCCTACCTCCTCAAATACATGCATTGGAGCCCAGTGGTCATCCATACAGAACAAAAATGATAATTTCCGACTTGATTTCTTCATGAATGCCCAATCTGGTGTTTCTGAAAGCTAAACAATGTCCATACACAATCAGATGAGGAAATTTGACTAAATATTGATATTACGCTTTGTACTGCCACGAAAACGAAGATTTCAATGATACAAATGTCTGATATGAGCGACACGTTCGCCTAACTATCACGATTTTTCATAGTGAATACCTTCTCGAACTCTGACAAAGCCATAAATAGAATATTTCGCATGACATGGTACTGTAGAACACAAAGATGATATTCCAAATATCAGAACAGACAGTCATTATCCTAGAATCAAAATTTATAGCAGTTTCAAGAGGATACTAAAAATGCATATACTACAAATAATACATTAGATTTCATTTCACCTTTAGCAAATAAGTGCAAGCAGCCTCACTTGCAGTTCTGGACCATGACTTCCCAATAGTTTTACTCACAACAAAACTTGAAACTCGGCTCGGTAATACACCCAACAGTGCGACAAAAGATGAAACCAAAGTTGATAGAAGACGGGATCTACAGCACAAAATTATCTTGTCAGCCTTACAGTGTACTATTAATCTTTGGCTTCCCTTCAAGGTTTTTAAAATGCGTCTGCTAAGGAGAGGTTTCCACACCCTTGTTAAGAATGCATCGTTCTTCTCCCCAACCGATGTGGGATCTCACAAAAACAATATAAAAGATACACAAAACTGAGAAACTCCCTAAGGCTGAGTTTGAATCCACTGAAGTGGGAAAGATTTTAAAAGGGTCCTATAATTAGAAAGAGTGAAGAGACTTTGACGGCAATGTAGATGCAGGAAGGCATAATTCATGTTATCAGAACAAATAACGGGCATACCCTGCAAGTTTTCCAATTAAAAATTGCTGACGAGATTGTCTGTTCACCATCATAAATGGATGCAATCCAATACAATACACCACCTATGGGTTCAAGGAAAATTTCCATTGCAACATCTCTTGAAAGCTGGGAATACATAAGAAGCAGAAAGAGTTTATGCCAATACCTGATCTTGGAACTTGCGGTACAATTCAATCGAGATATACGATCCAATAGAATGCCCAACCTTCAAAGAGAACAAACGGGTCAGCTACTGAAATAACAGTCATAACGAAGAACTTTGCAAAATTGTAACAAGTTCATTCTTAACATAACAAGTGAAATTGTCTCGGTTTAGTTAACAGGTAACAAGAAGAATATGAGCACTATAACCAGAAACTATTGTGTATGGGTTAAACTAGAATCAAATTTTATAAGGGTTGCAGTGGCTTACTAATAAAAGAATAACTCAATTGTATTCAGATGATATCAAAACAATACAATTGAAAATTTTGCACCGTGCGACTCTTTTATGATTATCGTGAACATTGAGCATAAACTGTAATCGTCAAGGTATAACTACCAGTAGCAATGGAATGTCTTTATTCTGTAATTCTTGTCTGACAAATTCTATCTGCAAAAGAAATATGAATATAGTTCAGCCCCATATATGAAAGAGAAAAGAGACCTGTAGGAAACAGATAATAAAGAAATGAACAATAATCTTGAGCAAGAGATATTAATTCCAAATTTCTGCAATGTTATTCCAATTGAACTGTAACAGCTCAAGCCCACCGCTAGCAGATATTGTCCGCTTTGGCCCGTTACGTATCGCTATCAGCCTCACGGGTTTAAAATGCGTCTACTAGGGAGAGGTTTCCACGCCCTTATAAGGAATGTTTTGTTCCCCTCTCCAACCGATATGGGATCACACAATCTCCACCCCCATTGGGGACCCAATGTCCTTGCTGGTACACCACTCGGTGTCTAGCTCTAGTACCATTTGTAACAACTCAAGCCCACCACTAGCAGATATTGTTCGCTTTGGCCCGTTACGTATCGTCATCAGCCTCAGGGTTATAAATCGCATCTGCTAGGGAGAGGTTTTTACACCCTTATAAGGAATGTTCTGCTCCCATCTCCAACCGACGTGGGATCTCACATGCACAGCTCTCCATGAAATTTAAAATGAAGTACACTCGCGACTTCATATTTTTCACGGACCACTTGCCACCCTAGGCTATCAATAACTAAATCAAATCGGATAAAACAGAGAATTACCTTATGATCAATTTGTTCTTGTAATGAAAATAACCTTCCACCTTCCCAATCCTAAAAGAGAAGAAACATCAATATCCATGACATAAAATCATTGGGGAAATTTATGTAACAAACTTCACTATATGCATCCGAGCAACATAAACTAATTTTCCTTTTGAAGCATTAAACTTAAGCATAACTAACCAGAGCCTCCAACTACATAGAGACATTGATATTTCATATATAAGAATGCAGTGCACAAAACATCATTTCCAAAAGAATTTGTCACTCGCCAAAGCTAAAATGCATAGCAGATATGAACTTTATATGACCGATGTGCAAGTACCTTCGTCGTTTGAGATAGATGACCAATAGCTGATAGTATACAAAAGGATGGCCAAAAAGAGAAAAAGTATCAGCCCAGATGTAAAAGATTTAATGTTTTCTATAAGAACAATGCCAACAATTCATGTCTTGCCTGTAATAGATACACGGCCCCCAAGCAACTGGTACAGGGATTCAACAAAATCTTTATAAAACGAAACAATCCCTGTCTTAGAACAAAACCCATTCAGAAATTATGCAAAAATCAAAAAGAAGCATCGAAATCCCAAATCCACAAAAGCATATGGACCTGGATTTCCAGGTATGAACAATACGTGCAACGATGGATCATCCGCATGAATCTCCGGCAATTCATTAGTGTAACTATCAAAACGCAGAAACGAAAGGCGATTTAATTCATGGAAAACCACAATTCCAAGAGAAATTTCAATGAAAATAAACGAGAATCGAATACCCTGATACATTGCACAAACGAAACTGCGCGCGCCTTCTAATAAAAGGATTCAGAACTTCTTGACCCATATGGACGAACGCAGACCTAGAAAATTTCTTCAACCTGAATGAACAATTCGGTAACCGAACCGATGAAAGGAAAAATGGAAGATTGATGGATCGAACGGTGAGTGAAGGAAGATTCAAGAACATGCCTTCCCTCTACTTCTCTACAAATCGCCGCAATTCATATTATTTTCTCTCGATTTTCTATCAAAATGAAGATTCTAACTGAGAATGAGAGCACTGCCAGCCACCACCGTTCTAATGTCACGTACGTGAGGTTTAAATTTTTAAAATTTTTAAAATTTTTAATTGAAGAAATTGAAGAAAATATTCATGAAAATAGGTTTATATGCCTAATATTTGGTAAGGTTGGGAAAATTTATTAAAAATAATCATAATATATATATTTTTTTTTTGATGATTTAGAAATAAAAATATATTTAAAAAAATGTGGATATGTATTTACTGGGCTTTTATGGGCCTTTAATTTTGGGCTTTTGCATACGTTTGAGCCCAGCCCAGCCCATCTCTCCCCTTCCTTTATATATTTTTTATTTTGTTAACGTCGATATAATTCAAAAAATAAATATATTTTTTATTTTAATAACCACAGTGAAATTGGAAAATTTTGAATAAGAAGGGAAAGTTTAATGTATTTTAACCTACATAATAATAATAATAATAATAATAATTGTTTGGAATGGATTTTAAATTTTAATATTATTAAATTATTAACTTTACTAAAGCAATATTTTTTATTATGTGATCTTAAAGAAAAAGTTTTTTTTTTTTCATTTTTTTCATTTTATAAATATATTTTTTTAAAGTGAACTTATTGATTAATTAGCAGTTTCTTTTGGTTGTAATTTACCTTCTAAAAAATATTCTTTAATTTTAGTTAGATTTCTTTAACTTAAATATTCTTTAATTTTAGTTAGATTTCTCAACTTAAAAATATTAAACTTCAAAAATGTTTTAAAAAATATATTAAATTTATTTTACGCCAAGCGTGGATATCCTACGTGGCCTTTTCCCCCTCCCACGTGTGTGTTAATACGTGGTAAATTTTTATTTTTTTTTATTTTCTTGTTTCCGTTAAAGTACTTACAAAGAGTGTAACAGTCTCGTTAATGTAGAGATCCGTCCGCAAGAAATTGACGGTTAATATTCCAGTCAATTATTTACTTCCAACTACCATTCAACTTTTTTTTTTAATAATAATAAATTGATACTAACGTTATTTTAATAATACCTTTAAACTTAAAAAGAAAATTTTTATACGCTCAATAAACTGAAATTGAAGCCAATTCTAACTTCGATCTTATTTGAAATAGTGTTACATGAATTTATGTGATATTGATTGACGGGTTAATGATAACTGGAACAATAGTGTATTGCATGCTACTGATTGACAATTAATGATTACGGTGAATCAAGAAAGATTAAAAATAGAATTGAGAGAAAAACTAGAAAAAACACGGGAGAGTTACTATTGAACTGGAGAGCAGTGAAGTAACGCATGTAAATGAAGCTAGGTGTGAACAAAAATGTGGCAAACTCGAAGATTTAACTAGAGATGCGCGTAGTTGACAAGATGGTTACGCCCCATGATGAACGATCAATGGAACAATAATGTAGGCAAGAATCGATTCGTGTATTAACTTTACATTTGACTTTGACTAACCCAACCTTAAACATTAGAACTTAAATCGACTACCTAGAACTTTAAATTTAAATTATTTTAATTTATCAAAATTTAATTTACTCTGGAGCAAATTCTATATCGAATTCGTTGATCTTATAAACATTAGAACAATATTGTTAGAATAATGTGAAGGAAGATAAACGTTGATATACCGGCGGATCGAGCTCGCGAGTTAAAAATCACGACTCAGATGTTTGTAATTGCCGGAAATCTGTACAAGAACGAAAAAAATCGATGCGAATCAGAGAGATGGAAATCGAAACAGGAATGTTTTGCTGCGAATTTATTAGAATGTTGAGATTGAATCTATGAATGTATTTGCGAAAATCAATTCTCCTTAGGGATTGGATGCAAGTTTCTGTATGAGAATAAAAGGGATTTATACAGGGGAATTAAATCCATCAATCTCCATTACAGCGGCTGAGGAAGTCGGCGTCGATCTAGGTCAATTACAGCGTTGAGGAAGGCGTCACAAGCAAATGCAGAACCGAATGACTCGGACTATGGCCGGAATGATACTACCTCTGATGAATCCAAGACTATTAGCGATCGGATTCGCGGCGGAGAATCGGAGCCAGAAACGGTGGAAGAAATTTGAGCCGGTGGAATAGGAAGAAGCGGACATAGGTTGGAGATAAGCCCAAGCGGCTTGCTTAACGAGGCGGTTGCGGATGGAAATTTCGTAGCCGGAGTTGGCCGGCGATGCGGCAGTGGGAGAGTTGAAGGCGGCGGCGGAGGCGGAGGGGAGGATGTCCTTGAGAGAGGTGTAGGATTGAGAAGAGGACTTGGAGGAGAGGATCCTCAAGTCGATCGGAGAGGACAGAGGAGGGGAAACGGCGACGTTTGGTGGGGGCATGATAGCGGAGGAGGGAATCGAGGTTCTGCGGCTGAGAATCGAGGCAGGTGACGACGGCGCTGCGTAGGTTTTTTGTGCGGCGGAATCGGCCATGGAAGATTAAAAAGGAAAAAAAGGTTATAGAGAGAGAAGTAAGATGGTTACGGTTTGGTCAGAGGAAAAGTGGCAAAACTCGGCGGCTTAGCATTTGCAATCGTTTGGCCGTACTCATCTCTTGCTGACGTGTTATCCTTTTCACTTCTTTTTTTTTTCAATTAAATAAAATTATAAAATCAATGAGTTGACCAGATAAAAAATAACTTGATCCAAAATATTTTTTTCTTTTTTATTTATTAGAAAAAAAAATAAAAAAAATTATGCCTATGGGATTTTTAAAAAAGAGTTTTTTTTTATCTACTTTTTTAAGTTTATAAAATCTAAGCCGAATTTTGAAAAATTAAAAAATAGATTTTATTCACAATTATTTGAATTTTTTATTTTTAAAAATTATACTTATTTTTCTATCATTTTTCTATGACTAATTTCATTTTTATTGAAAAAATAAATTAAATTCTTACTCAAATTCTAAAAAAGAAAAAATATTTTCTATTATTTATAACCAGTCCAATAATCTCGTAATCAGAAATAATATTTTATAAGATGGTTATGCATATTAAAAATTCAAATATTTTTTTTAGGAAAAAATGGAAACTAAAGTAGAGAAGTTATGAAAACAAACCTAACTTCTAAAAATTAAAAACCAAAAATAAAATTGAAAGCATTAAAAATGTGTCTTTTCCCTTTTAAAAAGAAATAAGAGGGTCGAGTTAAGCTCCTTCCCTCAAAATCACAAATGCACGATAGGAACTCGAGAATATTAATATTACAGGTAATTAGGCATTGTCCAATTTTAAAAATCCTTGACCCCACATCAAGCTTATCAAACATTTTGAGACCAAAAAATGGAATTAGTTAATGAAATTAATTTTTTATATATAGATTGAATAAGCAAATTCATGAATATATTAAAATGCCCAATAATATTTAAACAAATAGGTTAACTATTATACCAACCCCAAACTAGTCCAATCAGCAATTTTTTGTCCCATTCGACTCAGATCTCCACCAAACTTGGTGAAAGACAATATACTAAGAATTAAAGTTGGGGGATCCACGCAGGCTAGATGGGTCAGTGCATTGCCTTTAAATTTTCATACACAAATAAGACAACCAGCTTACGCATATTTCTATCTAACCTCACTCTGTATAGTTGTATATTTCGACTATTTTTTCGAAATAATTATCTAACCTCACTTCATATAGTTGTCATGATAACCCGTATGATAATAAATTCTAAATAAATAACCACCATGATTTGAATCTATTCCATCGTGTCATTAAAACCAAACTCCAACCGACTAAAATTGATTTTGAAATAATCAAAATCACTTTATGGTCATATCAATTTTCACTAAGATGTCCTAAATTGATTCGCCCCTAATGGAAGGAAGCAGCATCGAATAAGTTTTTGATAATAATAGACTTTATGGAGTTCTCTAGGACTCTGTGGTTTCCACAATCTTCAGCTAACAACAAACAGCTAACTAAAAACAAAATTCAACCCATTGTCACAAGATTTCAATTATATCCCAAACCCCTTATTGTTTAAATGGATTTGAAACTGAAGATTAAAAGTTTTACCAGTGCATTGATGCTCTGCTGGCCTGATAATGCCTGGAAACCTATATACCATCTGCATCCTTTCAAAAGTTTGCTTCTACTTCCTGAAATGATCCGAGTTCATCAACAGTCAAACAGAATTGAGATTGGCATGAGATTGCATATGCAAATACTAACCTCCAAATGTATTCCTTATCATGCTTGGAAAATTTCCACAGTATATTACTTGGGTTATAAAAATTACACTGTACAGTTGAGCTTGAGCTCCAGTAAGATTTAACTGTTTGTGTGGCTACAAATCAACATCTTGTGGAGTAATGAGGATGGGAACAGGTAGCTAATGGATCAAGTCGGATCTGCTTCTATGTCACCTTTGTCTTAAGTTAACATCAGATGGCATTCCGCCCCTCTCTGAATGTGGGCTTACTGGTCTTGGCCTTTGGGCACTAACATCAGATATTATGAAGTCATGAGGAACCATATCTGACTGGTCCCATACAATATCTGCTGCTATAGCTGAAGTGAAAGAATTCAACTGTTTTTTCTATGGGTTTTCCCCTTTTCAGATTTATTAAGACGTGCATGACAAAACGGTAGTTGTAAGACAATTTTAAAGAAGGATACTATCTGTTCTCCACATATCTGTAATGCTAACTTCAGCATCTGATAACAGCCAGTAATCTGCATCATTCTGCAATAATATAGTAGAAGTAAGCTGAAGCTAGCATAAATAGATTTTGTTCAAAAGTGTGTGTCCAAAAAAAGGGCATGTAGTCGCCCTTCTGAATATTTAAGGATGATATGCTTACATCAATTTCTGAAGGCATAATCTTCATCATTCCACCAGGAAACTCGTTTGAACCATGCACATCACAGATGCTGCTGTACTGGGACAGTTGAGCTTGGGGTTCGATTTCGTTTCTACTGCTCTCACCAATAATTGCTTCTGTTGCTAGATGTTCGTTTGATCCTGAACTGGAAGCATGTAGGAAGCTACTAGGTGTCTGGACCACATTCATCTCCTCAATTTTCTCCTCAAATTGACTACGAAAAAAGGAGAATTTTTATATGAAAAACAATTA